ATATGCGTAATAATATTGATAATAATAAGAATAATAAAGATAATGATCATAAAATTAGTAATATGCGTAATATCATTGATAATAATAAGAATGATAAGGATAATGATGATGAAAGTAGTAATATGCGTAGTAATATAAGTAGCTATATTGTATATGAATGCATAAAACTATACAACTATATATATATATCGTGAGTTATATAATGTAATATAATGGGAATAATATGATGGTATGTGGAAGATTATTATGTTTAGAATAACACAAAAGCACAATAACTTTTAATGCATAAATGAATTTATTATTTAAGAGAAATGACTTGGAAGGACCTTTTTGAATAACTATATTTTATACGTGTGAAAATTATAATAACATCATATTATAATTATTTTGTTAACATGCATAGATCTGATAAAAATCGAGCGGTATATTTTCCTTTGCTCTTGCAACAAATATTGGTATTCTTATAACAAATCGGCTGCAAACGTAAAAAATAATAATAATCATAAATAAATGTAATATTACTTTTATTATATATAATCTGTTGTATTATTTGACCCTTTTATTCTCTTTCCTGCAATTTTCTTCAGATTTATTTTTTTTTCCTCACTAGGGCCTAATGATACCTTATATTTCATCAAAGTGTATACGCTATTGAGGACTTCTACGGTTTACGGATAGCTTACTGCGCATGCACTGGGACTGCCCAACTCTGGTGTGACGAATTTTAAATTCGTTTTGCGCAAAGATTTGATCGTTTTTAGTTCGGTACATTTTAGCTCTTAGATATTGATACTCAGTAATTTTCAAACCCTTTTCTCAAAATCTTCTTCATCTGAATAGAAGCTTTAAAATTTTTTTTAAGTTTTAATAAACAGAAAAAATCAATAAATACAAACATTGCATTTAAAATTTCATTCTATTAGTTCCTACTATCTACCTCTAGATCGCTATAGTGTCAACTTTCATAGCTATAAATACTTTACTACGAACTACTATAAATTGCCGTCTATTTTTGTTGCAAAATGAACCAGTTTGTTTTTAAAAATTAACATTTACTTGGGAAAATTGTATTATTTATCGATTTCGAAATGTCTTCTATGAAAAATTCTCCTTACGAATAATGCGTGCCACCATGTATCATACGAACGAACCATCGAATAATGTGCGTTTGCCACTATTGGTACACCTGGTTTCAAAATGACAATGACAGAATTCAAGCTAGAGTTTAGTTCAGTATTGACGTGAGTTGAATGCAGAGTTTCGGTTGTGTATGCATTGAATCTGTTGTAATATCCGTAAAACGTGACTGAAGTTTTTGAATAAATAAAACAGAGACGCAGTTTAAAATATTTCAAGTTTTTCTTTCATAAATAATGAATACCAAAAATTTGTTAACACAGTGCATTGATTTCAAACGAACAGGTAATGGAACTTGAATTAAGGATTGTTCGTGATCTCGTTACAGAGGCATTTATGAAAACGATAAAAGAAGCATCAAGTTTCTTGTAGTTTTCAATTTTGAGGAATTTGGTAAATAGCAATGAATGTTTAAGAAACATTGTGCGCAGTATGCATTTCTGGATTAACAAACCGGCGGGGAGGTATTACGGTTTTACTGGCCGCCGATACCCCGCCACACCTCTGCCAAAAACAAACTTCAGTAAGATACAAAATTTTCTAAAGCTTTTTTCTTTTTAATTAGTAAGTATTTTGTATTAAGGTATTTAAAGACATGTTTAAAAATTTCACAGTTCTGATTGTTATAAAGTGATATGAAAAAAAAATTAATTTTAATACAAAATTTGCTACTAAAAATGTTTATATTTATTATCCTATATTTATTGTCTTTATAGATCAATGTCGATATAATCCAGATTTAAGACAAATGGTGACCCCACTTCATCGATTTCAAAATCAGAATGCTATGGAAAATGCAGCTGGTCCTAGTAATTTAAATAGTTGCAGAGCATTAAGAACTACATTAAGAACTAATAATGAGACCCAAAACAATTACCCAGTTGACTCTACTCGACGCACTCAGCTAAACAACATCTCCAAGTAATTAAAGAAAAAGGTCTACTAAGAGGATTCTGAGGAACATGTTCTTCTTATATACAGGGTGACTCACTTATACATGTCTATCAACAGAAAGTACTTATAAATGATTCGCCCTTGATCATAACTTTTATGTACAAAGATATGGATGTTTAAGCAATAATGATAAAAATAATAATGTTTAAACATAATATTGTTCATATTTACAGCAATGTAACGACTGCTGGAAATAATCAGTTGATATTGTCGAATACTGCTACAAATGGAACAAATAGAAGTCTTTTAGATTTTTCTGAATTCAATGATGCAGAATTAGCAAGTTACAGATTACGATGCGGTGTTTGGATAACTTTTGTATTTGCAACAGGATTTGTTGCTGCTGCAAAATTTTATTTTGGTGATCATGTATGCTAAAATTGAGATATTTCAAGGAATTATATTTGCTGATACAATATTTAAATATTATTTATATTGAAATGTTTTGTTCTTTATAGGGCCAAGGCATAGAAGTCTTTGTATTTTGGGGTCTACTAACGTTATTATTATTGTTTGCATGTTTATATTCGATTTTATGCCGTCGAAATCAGCGCAATAATCATCAAGAACATCACATTCAAGAGGACCATATTGCATCTGTAACTACTACGAATACAGTGTCCAATGAGAATATTAGACCTATTTCTGTAATAAGGCAAAATCCACCACCACCCTATCATATTGCTATTTTGATTCCTCCACATAATTCGTCGGACGAAGCTCCACCACCGTCTTACGATAAAGTCATGCGATGAATTAACATCGTTAAGTCGATATAAAATTGTATAGAATGTTGTCACTATTTTTTCATATATTGCATTTTGTAAGCTGATCAATATTATCGTCAAAGTGTGTTATCAAACATAAATATTTCATCGACGAGCTTTTAATTTATGCAACCAAAAGAAAAAAAAAGAAATGAAATCATTAACATTTTCTCTAGGCTAGGTAAACTTTACATCTGTGATACAAATAGTGAGGTAATGTCAAGATATCATTCTTTATAGCATTTACGAATTAAAGGAAGCATAAGAAGACTATTGTGGGCATTATGTGATGTCTGAATAAAAAGAAATAAATGTGGTATCTACAAAACTTAAGTATCTGAATATCAAAAAGGTATGTGCTTTCTGTTTTTATATTGGAATGAACATTTTTAATTTATTTAAAAAAATATATGTATCCTAAAGGAAAAGTAATCATCTTTTCATGCCTAAGAATATACATCTTTGTCACAGAAGAAAGTAAAGTATATAATTTTAATTTATATTATTATATCCGTTTACTAAAAACGGCAAGAAGTGCTGTTTGCACAAAGATTAAATTTGGGCTCACCTTTGACGCATGAATCGTTCGCTCTTCCTACAATCCGTAAAATGTAAAATGCTTCAATACAAAATACACTGATTCTATTATGTAAGATTAAATAAAAAAAACATAGGCTAAGCATTGTATATGTTTTATAATACTTACTTATACACGTGTACATAATATAAGTAAATGGATATACACATACACGCAACGCATACATACGTACGTACATTTGGACTATAGCATAAATTCAATCAATAAATATAAATGTAATTTCATGTTTGTTGTGTCTTTTTAATATCGAAATTGCACATACATGTAAGTAAATGATAGTTTACAGAGTAATTTTATTTTGTATTTGAAACAAATTTATATAATACATTATACAGAAAATATTGTATTCAATACTTATAATTATTAACGATCTTGAAGTTATCTTTTTATACGTTAAAATGTAACTTGAAATAAAGAATCAATCAATTTTTTGTTCTGTTCCCTTTTTACAATTTTTTTATATGAAATTTATTACAAATCTCTAGGCAACATTACATTTGTATAGCTTTATCGCGTAAGAATTAAACGTAGGCGCTTGTTTTGTATGCACAGCATAAATGATTGATTGTTACTTTATTAAGAAAATAACCGTATACATTGAAATGACACACTTTCTCTCTAGCTAATAATCAAAATTATATAATTGCATCAATAAAAGAATTGCACGGAATCATTCTGAAGCTTAAAAATAATGTCAATTCCCTAAGTCACTATCTTTATTTATTTTATATATATTTAAATTATGAAAAAATTTATAACGGAGTTAACATTAATAAATTATTCTTAAATTAATTTTGTTAAAATAATGACAATTAAATGTCAAGCATCAGATCAATTTACATATAAATATGTATTTTGTACATCACGTTAAAAAAGCGTAAAAGGTAAATTAAAAAGAATAAATGAATTAATTATGATTTTATCAAAACTACTATAACTACTTGATTTGCTAATTATAAGAAAGAACATCATGTTGTCATAAAGTAAGTAACTAAATAAGTTTAAGATATTCTGTAGTCTTATTTGTAAGTTCTTTAATTTTTCTTATTAAACGCTTTATTCCATAATAACATGATGTTCTCTGTTATTACTGTATAAATTAAGTAGTCAAAGAATTTTGAGTAACTTCTAATAATCATATATCATTAACATTTATTTCTTTATATTATGGCTATATTTCATGCTAGAATAGTATAGAAATTTCACTTAATAATATGCACTGTGTTTAAACTCTTTGGATTTCAAATAACTTTACATCTGTACCATACCAAATTGGAGGTTCAACATTCCTTAAGTATATAACACCCCACATATACGTTCTGAACCAAGCAGTTGTTCCTGCATTGGCTTGATATCTTCTGATAAGAATAGGATGTGGTACTGGTAATAAACCGACCAATGTACCGTGTTGTAAAAACTTCAAAATTTCACTTTCATCTGTCAGACCCCTACGGAGAAATATATATATAACAATGTAACAAGCAAGTCTGAAGATTTGTGAAAACAGCAGACTTATACATTATACTTACTTATCGATACATATTTTTTCAACTTGAGGTACGAGAACTTGAAGTAAACGCATAATAGTTTGTAGTGGAAGTTTGCTTTTCCACTGATATACCCATTCGCTAGAAGGGACCCACTGATTTATATTATTAGAGGAATTTGTATATTCAGCAACTCTGATGCCTCCCTTCTATTCAATCAACAAAATAATAAATAAGTAATTTATAAAACCCAGACAATTTAATAAATTATTTGTGTCATTATATTCTTACTGGTATAACAGAATTTTTAGTAGAGTTCATTAAATCTTCTGTACCACCCACATTGTTTTGGTGATTAGACTTCCCTACATCAACATTTACTGAAGGACTTAACGGATGTGCAGATTCTTTCTCAGTCATTTTTTCGATACCTAAAAACAAATACAAAAGTAATTAACAATGCAACTAATAATTAAACATTATTCATTTACCTGGAGTTTCTAACAAGGATGCTTTTAAAGTTCCAGGTTCTGCTGGCTGTGCAGGATGTGAACCTTCCATTACTGCTTTGTTAACATTTTCATGAGATGTACTAGCAGATACATGTCTACGTTGTCTTTTACTAAGGGATTTTGCAATTGTATTACAATCACTTGGTAAATTTGCTAATGCATGGAACACTTGTCTTTTACGTATTATAGTATAAACCAGATTACTATTTCCATCAAATTGATACTAATAACAAATAAACATGATTAGTTACATTAAAAAAAATTCACCTTTTAATATATGTACAAATTACCTGGATGATATTATTAAAGATCTCAAGTAGGAAAAATACTAAATGATGGTTCGTGGGGGCGGAAAATAAAAACCACGGTGTACTAAATGCTTCCAATAAATGCAATAATTTAGTACTAGCCACCATTGATAGTGTTTTAAGATATGGAGAAACATTGACTAGAATTGTTAATAAACAGTCAAATAGTGGCTGTAGTCTTTGGTGTCCAGTTGTAATTATCTTATGAAAAACTGTAATTAACAAATCAGCATGTGTACCTGTAAGCATTTCATTGCAGTTATTTAAATTATGTGAATTATAAAAAAATTGGCAATAAAATTATAGACAAATTATTACCTGTAAAAACAGGAATGTCCATAGGTACTGTAGCTGTATATGGTTTATTTAATCTAACGCCAAAGTTACGTTCTCCGCTTAATAACAGTAAAATAAATACTCCTATATGCATTAATCCAACTCGTGCTGCACAATTATGCTTAATTATTATGTAACCTATAGTTTAGCTAAATTCATAATTTCAAACAAACTTACATTGATCTGCTCGTGAATCATTTAGATGATATAATATAGGTACCAATACTTCAAGAACATCGGAACTTTTCAATACATAGTATAAGAACTTCTTATTGTAATCACACATTTTCCAAAAGAACACCAATAACTCTTGGTGAAAGTGTACTTTTTTTGTAGAGTTTGGGAGATACGTTTGCATCAATGGGTTATTTAATAATCTAGTAATTCCTTTCAGTACGAACTGAAAATCTATAAGCATAGTTTTCTTCAATGTCATATTACTGCTAAATTGTATCAGGTACAAAGACAAATGTTACCTTCATCTCTATGAATACGACTAAGATAATTAATGAATAAATTATTTCCAACAGTTCCTTCTTCTAACGGAGTACCACCGCTAGTATCATGATCTAATGTTACTATAAGGATTTGTAATGCAACATCCACTAATGGTTCTAATGAATCAGTAAATAATAAATGATTGTATGGTACTCCAAGACCAACAGGGTCATACGCACATACTGTATTCAACAATGATGTGAACATAGGCAAAGCATGTCTGTCACAGAAACATGAAAATTTCCTTTAAATTACTTTTTCTTACATGTATTGATTGATATAATCAAATTTATGGCAACGTACCTATTTTCAGAACTAGTTAAATACTGGATCCATCTGTTTGGTGTAACTGAAAGATCCATTGGAGGATCATACATGGTTTCACTGAAGCATGTAAGTAACAATTTTAACAATTCTGTTCTGTTTGAATCTAAAATTGGGTATCTAGGGGGTGAATGTGCAAATCCCACACCAGCTTCCCAAATATATTCACAACTATCTATAGATTGCAATTCTTCTGCTTTATCCTAAGTAATTTTAAAAACAATCTATTAACACTTTTCAATTTTTTGAACTTTTAGAATATTAAAAAAAACTTACAGGTCCAGATTTTCTATTTGCAGCTACTGTAAAATCAGGACAAAACAATAAATCCTAAAATAAAAATATGAGTTATTAACAATTCATTTTCTTTTTCTGTTTATTTCAAAAGATATGTAAGATGTATAATACTTACACAAAGTGCATTAAGTAAAGAATGGGCCAATGGAATACTTTTTTCATCATCTTTGCCAGGTAAGCTAGACCAAAAGAATCCTTTCCAATCAGGATCTTCAAAAATATAAGGTAATAATTTTGTTAATAAACGGCAACAGTTCAAAACAGTTTGTTGTTCCCTTTGTGTTCGACAACTATTATCAACTGCTTTCACTAGTTTTTCCACTGCTTTGTAACATAACTTGGCTAAATTAGATGGTGCATCTCTTCTCAATATACGAATATCAGATGCAGCGATTAAAGTAAATATATCTTGGACATTAGTTACGTTTTCAGACCAAAATTGGTCCCACAATTTATCATCTGAAGCATCGATCGGCTATAATTAAAAAAAAAGTTTATTACATACTCTCAACCTAAAATACACGCAGCCAAAAAATATTTAAAAACCGTACAATGATTCAAATAATGTATGGATAAAAAGCATTTTATTATTACTTATTATATTAATAACAATAGAAAAGTATATGATAAACAAAACTAAAAATTTGTATATATCACAGATACGTCAAAATGTCAAACAGCTTGGTGAGTACAGTAATAAACAACGATTTTTACCTGCGTTGTCGACATTAGTTGCAAGATCGCTCTACGAAAATTTAATTTTGTATTAACGTTCCCCATGTTGTTCTATTTTTAATTAGTTTAAAGTGAAAAGTTAAGTGTTAAAATACAAAAACGATCTTGTTTCTCTTTAAACAAGAACGATCACGGCGATCGCCATGTTTACGTGCTATAGAGCATCAGTGCTACCAATAAAAATTTTATCCTTATATCGAGTGTGTTTCATTATCATGGGCACATGTGCAAATTACATAAAAGCATAGTGAAAAATAAAAATTCGATATATTTATCATTTATAATGGTATAAGTACTGTTATTCATATTTATACAATTGTTATCACGGATATAAATATAATATGATACAATTCTTAGTTTATTTCCTATATTTTCCTTGAATCCATACTCTGTACATTTTAAGTTGTTTTCCTCTGTTAACTTGAAGTCTTCTATCCACAAGATTTTGTTCTTCACTGAATCCGCAACTTGTAAATAATGTCTTGACTTCATCTATAAATAAATTTATTGTAGAATTGGGTGCAATGTAGGCTTCCTTTACATAAGGATTAGTGTAGGGAAAGAAATACCCCATTATTAATAATATTAAAACAAATAAATAAACAAGGTACCTTGAGTGAAAAAATATACTCTAGTTCCATCTCCTCGAGCATAAAAATTTTCTGACAAACAGCTCCCTTTTTTGAATCTTAGTTGAGCTAGGTCATATCTTCCATAATCTCTGAATAAAACTAATCCACCTGGTTTTAAATATTTATATACTTGTTGTATAACATGCTTCATTCTGGAAGTAATGTAAGTTATTCATTTTAATCTGCACCTTTATGTAGTTAATAAGATACTCACTTATCAGGCTGTATAGCAGAAAGAACAAATATTAATACTATAATATCTAAACTTTCTGGTTCAAACGGCGTTTGCCAGTTTTCTTGTGTTACATCAAGAACAAATGCTTCACACCTTTGAAACATATACATTACATTGATAAGATTACTGTTATGATTAATGTTAAATATTATATTTAGTAGTTTATACCTAGATGTATCATAAGCAGGATTTTGCTTTAATATATCTATTGCTTTTGTAGAAAAGTCACAACAGTATACAAATAAACTTGGATCTCTATTATACAAAAGTATTGGAAATACAGTGTTTCCTACTCCACAGCCAATTTCTAAGATTTTATGTCCACCTTCACTAGGTAAATCAAGAATCTTAATATGGGTTTCTTCATCATTTTTGCTCCTGTTTTCAGTTACAGATCTCAAAGATTGTTTAACATCTTGTTTTACAGTATCAGCAGCTAACTCTGGAAATTCTGTAAACAACCAATGTCTATCTTTGAAAAATCTGCAACATTAAGAATAAAACTTTTTTTCTCATTTCTACTATTCATAATAGTTACACTGATTATTTCTTATATACTTCATCGATGTACTTATTTTCATGTATTCCATAAAACTTGTCCCAATACTTGTTAGCCTCACATTCATATTCCCAAACTTTTTCATCCGACAGGGTTACAATTGAATTTTCATTTACTTTTTGTTGGGCCAACGTTTGTTGTTCTTCATTCCACACGACATTGTCCCTTTAAATGACAATCAAATGCAATAACATTCAACAAATCATAAACTTTAAAAGATTGCGATTTATAGGTTAAGAATGATAACCTTAATAACACAAATATCGTGGTAAATATTAAATAATACACACATACCATGCATTATGTTGGAATACATTATCATTATTGGAAAGCGTTCTGTTCCCAAATTGCGGTCTTTTAATTGATTCGTCTTTGTTTGCCTCCGGTGTATTCTCGTCCATTTTTACGCGCTTTTTCAAAAGCATGCGTAGATAATATACGAGTTAAAGTATAGGTTATATACAAGTATCAAGAAATCATGGATCAAAGTAGGAATATGAGAATAGAGCTAGATCCTTAAAAATGGGAAGTCACTTAAAATAAGACAAAGACAAAATGACGAGGTAATTCGATACTAAATTCGATTAACTGTCATTGATATGATCCCGAATTTCTAAATTTAAAAATTTGAAAATCTCCGATTTCATTTCATCTCTATATTTTCAGGTATGTCCACGAAAAGAATAAAAAATATAATCACCTAAAAATAGAAGCATAATTTATTCTGTACTTTCGTTTATTTTAAATCAATGCAAAAATGATTAGATACATCACAGATTAAATTATAATCGTTCCATAGTTTGATTCAAACTAAGAACAGTGATATGAATATGAAAACAGTTTTTTTTTGACTATATCACTTAATACCGTATAATTATCGTTAATTACAAACATTTACCTTATTTAACGAGTAAATCTATTATTATCGAGTTAGACTTGTTACAGATCATCGTATGTACACTAGGACTTGAAGATCAACGACCTAGGAGACAGATATAGGTTGAGGGCGCATGGTATGCAGAAACAGGATGGGTGTGACGCAGAGGGTGCAGGTTAAGGGTGGTATATTGCGTCATTGGCTGATTGGAACCATGAGGATTAAGTCGTTTACGTTCACAATTTTCCGTCTCCTATTAGTTTAATATTTATATTCATAAAATTGCTATATAAATCCGTCTTACTACTACTTCTAAACATATTGCATAAAATTAATTCATGGTTAGTTTTATTTGAATGATCAAAATCGACTGTCAGTGCTCGAGCATTTTGCGTAGATTCACTGCTAACAATTAAAAATTCGTTCAGTTTTTAATCTATTATTTCACTTATACTACAAGAAAATAATTTTAATTTTTATATCAAATAATAGGTTAGATCCGCAAAGATGGCTCAACGGATAAATGACATTACGTAACGATGGACGAATGACATAACGAAAAATAATTTTTGGAAAGCTCGTAATACGAAGAGGATAAAGCTATGTAATGTCGTTTGAGTACCCGATTTCCTGAAACGTGTTAGTAGATTTTCCACCGCAATACGTTGCTAAGGGCTACAAGTTCCTTCTTCCGTTACTGCATGGTGCTTCATGGCTCATCGTGGGTGGCTACCGTGATGTCCTAATCCCACCAAGTCCCTAGGGGTGAGATCGATACATCTATTTCTCTTTCCCTTATGTTTTTACCGGGGATAGTACTCATCGATTTCAACTGATTCGGAAGGAATACTTGAAATGAACGAAATCAATTTTTTCAGGAATATTGAAACCAATTTTTGCGTGTGGAACATTCGTGAAGCGAAATGATCGAGGAGACGTGCGTCAGGAAAATTTTATAATTATTTTTTATATGACTACTAGTTCTAATGAATGTGCACTGAACTAGCTGTTATTAGAATTAACTTTTCTAATGAATGTATATTTTTGCTATTTGCACTGATCAAGGGAGGAGAATTATTTGTAACAGTTTGACCACCCTGTACATAGAAAGAAGTTCTGTTTCAAGATTGTTTGAAGAAGCTTTAAAAAAAATTGCAAGGAAACATGTAGACATAGAAGAAGAGGTAATAAGAACAAAGAGTATTTTGAATGGGACTTAAAGAAACCACACATGGTCAGAAACAATTTCATTTAAAACTTGTTTATAAAAATATTGAATTGTTTGATGTGTTCAAAAGATATTAATCTGAATCGTTTGTGCACAGTTTGCAGCCCTCGAACGCGACGGAAGACACAAGTAGGGCATCGTTTGATGGAAAAAAAGAGAAGAGGAAAAACCGAAACGAAAGGGATGAAAAGTCATCGAGTTCCCTCTTCTTCCTGGCTCTGCCATCCTCGAGCTTGCACGGTCGCGTTCGATAAATTTAATGCGCGCACCAAACTCGAAAGCGCCTATTGGCGTCGAGAAATTTGCAGGGAACGAAGGGTCTCCACGTTGACGGGACAAGAATGAGAGAAACATACATAGATAGAGACTGGAAAGGGATACAGAGGAGGAGGAGAGGAGGCTGTGAGAAAGAGGAAGGCGAAGAAAGAAGGCGACAGAAAAAGATAAAAATTGAAGGGATGGGATGAGACATAAGGGTGATGCAGTGATAGCGAGGGAGAGAGAGAAGGAGAAAGAGAAGGACGGATTGAACGCATGGAGAAATAGGGAAAAAGGGGGGAAAAGAGAGCGAGAGAGGGAGAAGGAAGAGAGTAGAGAACTGTGCGCGCCGCAACGCTACGGGGTGGTTGCCCTCGTCTGCGCTTTGTGGGAAATGCCCGCTCAATAACGCGTAGGTCCTCGTCTGCCCCTTCTCACCCTCGGAGGCATCGCAGCAAGGGCCACTGCCCCAAAAGGCACGACCACCCGTCGAACAACCCTTATCCTACACTCCCTCCTACCCATAAGACACTCCTTCAAATCCTCCTTCTATTCTGCTCGTCTCGTATATCTCAAAAAGATCGAATCTTGTCCTTACACCTTGTCCTCTTCGTGGACGCTCCTGATACAACTCGATGGACATTGCTGCAGTCATTAATATTGCAATCTTCTGCGCAGCATGCCTTTCAACACCTTTATTTTTGCTTTTAACCTCAGTATCAATTTTAACACTGGTCAAGTTCCTCTGCAACTTTGTATTCTAGTCTGAAAATGAGTAAGAAAAAAATCTAATTAGAACAACCGCAGCAAATTTCTCTACTGTTCATTTTTTTTATACATATTTGTAAAGTAACTGGAATGGACAAATGTTAAATTGCAACTATGTGTTCTAACTTTTAAACAGTAAATGAGTCTGTTATTCTTTGAGAGTTTGCAATAAATGTTTGTATCATTCTTTGAAATATATTTTGCAAATTGATAATGCAATATATTTATTTGCAACTTTGTATTCTAGTCTGAAAATGAATTGAGTAAGAATGAAGTCTGATTGAAACAATTGCAGTAAATTTTTCTAGTGCTCATTTTTTTATATATATATATATATTTGTAGAGTAAGCGTACTGAAAAAATGTTAAATTACAACTATGTGTTCTAATTTTTAAAGAATGAATGAGACTGTTATTCTTTGGGAGTTTTCAACAAATGTTTGTATGATTAGATTCTTTGAAATATATTTTGCAAAATGATAATGCGAAATGTTTAATTGCAACTTTGCATTCTAGCTTTTGGAGGAAAGTGGTCGATATCTGCCCAGTATACCGAGGTACCTCACCCTCATTCCAGGCATGGTGGAACCCCCAAAGATCGTTCGGGCAATGACCTCGAGATTATATATTCTGCCGGTATAGGGTGGTACAGGGTTATTCCCCTTGAATTCGTCCGCGGTGCTGTACGTTTGAACAAATCGAAATCGTAACTCTTTACAAAAATACCGTTTTTGCACCTGAATAAAAAAACCTTGGAAAAAATGAAACGAACTAAATGAAAAAAGTACATCGATATTAACAGGAGCTTTCGTGCAAACGATTGTAAGAAATATTTTATTCTTTTAAGTCTCTTTACATTTGAGAGGTTCAATTATAAAGAACAGCGGGTTTCAACGATTCACCCCAATATCGATTCACGGTGTCTTCAACCACAAGGATACAAAATAATTTGTTTCGTTCAAATATTTGATGATCCTTCTCGTAAACGAAGGTCTGCATAGGCTTTGCATAATAATTGTACGTCAAAGGGGGGTAAACTAGCATTGGTTATAGTTTTCGTGGCGGATGGCATTTATAAGCCCTGCTCGCTACATCCACCACCTACCGGATCAATAAGTACTCTTCTTGTTTCATAGGAACCGTGTCCTCCTACGTATTGTGATGTCTCAGATTTTCTTCAGGTACAGTCATTAATTAACAGACATATACTTGCGTAGTATTGAACGTATACATAGAAATTCTGTTTGGAAATCCTGGGGTCAATTGTGTGTACTAACCTAACATACATTTGGGGTCGAGATGAAAGGGGCTGATAAAAGGGTATTAAATCGCCATATTAACTTCGCATTGTTTGACATCATCGACATTGACGTAACTAGGATTTTTATTTGGGGTGCTAGGTACCCTTTATTTATAATGAATTTGAGAACTTATTGGAAAGGAATTGGTGAATAGAATGTACGAGTCTGGACTTTCATGAACTTGTGAATTAATGAATTTGGAGATGTTGAAGTCTGGTACTTACAAATGTGGAGACTAGAAATGTAATTCTTTATGAATTTCTAAATTCCTAACAATTTCGCAATTCTCTAAATCCTTAATAATTTCCCAATTCCCTAAGTCTTTACAAATTTTTCAATTCCCTAAATACGTTGCAATTTCCTAATTCTCTAAATCCTTCAAAATTTCCCAATTCCCTGAATCATTAAAAATTTCCCAATTCTCTAATTCTTTAAAAATTTCCCAATTCCCTAAATCCTTCAAAATTTCCCAATTTCCTAAATCCTTCAAAATTTTACAATTCCCTAAATCCTTAAAAATTTCCCAATTTCCTATATCCTTAAAAATTTCCCAATTCCCTAAATCATTAAAAATTTCCCAATTCTCTAATTCTTTAAAAATTTCCAAATTCCCTAAATCCTTCAAAATTTCCCAATTCCCTAAATCATTAAAAATTTCCCAATTCTCCAATTCTTTAAAAATTTCCAAATTCCCTAAATCCTTAAAAATTTCCCAATTTCCTAAATCCTTAAAAATTTCCAAATTCCCTAAATCCTTAAAAATTTCCCAATTTCCTAAATCCTTAAAAATTTCCCAATTTCCTAAATCCTTAAAAATTTCCCAATTCCCTAATTCCTTAAAAATTTTCTAATCCCCTAAATCCTTAAAAATTTCCCAATTCCCTAAATGCATAAATCCCAAAATTTACAAATCTCCAAATGACCAAATCCCAAAATTACCAAATTACCAAATCACCAAATTCAAAAATTGCCAATTGCCAAATCACCAAATCCCAAAATTCCCAAATGACCAAATGACCAAATGACCAAATTACCAAATCACCAAATCCAAAAATTACCAAATCCCACAATTACCAAATTACCAAATTACCAAATTACCAAATCCCCAAATCCTAAAATTCCCCAAATTCCAATATTCCTAAAATTCCCAAATCCCCAAACCCCTAAATTTCAAAATTCCCCAAATCTCCAAATCCCCAAATCCCTAAATCCCCAAATTCTCCAAATCCTAAAATTCCCAAAATTCCGAAATCCCCAAATCCCTAAATTTCAAAATTCCCCAAATCTCCAAATCCCCAAAATCCTAAATCCCCAAATCCCCAAAATTCCCCAAATTCCCCAAATCCCAAAATTCCCAAAATTCCCAAAATATCCAAATCGAATTTAATGAATTACATAAATGGTAACAAGAAACTTATAACTGTACCCAATCAATCATAAAACATCGAAAATCATACCAGCAAATTACGCTTTGTTGCGATGCAATTATTTTTAGTCGAGAGTGGTGTATCACCTGTTTCCGCGGTGTTATCGGGAAAAGTTGCTGTTTCA